TACTACTCTGCCATAAATAAGGCTAAACTTGAATCAGTTGCAGGGAAACAGGTGCACATAGAGACCACAACATTAAATGAAATAAACCAGACACACGAGCTTAAATACTGCATGGCTTTTCTCATATCAGAAATCCAGAATATAAATAAAGAATAAAATGAGAGACAGGAAGTAAGGAAATACATTTTGTTCAAATGGGAAAGGGATCAAAAGTTAGAGGTAGGGGGGAGGGGAGGGAGTGAAAGCGGATGATGAAAAAGAAATAAAATGTGCTATGTACATTTATTAACTCCCCACAAGGAATGTAATCATTATGTAATAAAAACATGTACTAATAAAAATAGAACAACATTCTCCCTTCTTTTGAGAAGGGAGGGAGAAATTAATTTGATAAAACTGAGCCCTATATCAAAATGATGTCTAATGGATCATACAAAATAAAAACATCTCTGAAAACACAACTACATATTTTGCATGCTGTATTATGTTTAGTTTCTACAAGTCTCATTTATAACTGACAATTCCCGTCTTCCACTAAGTTTTCTCCTGATTCTAATTTTTTATGCGAGTCTCTCTTACTTTCCCCTGGATACATATATTCATATGGACATACAAGTTCTCAAAGAATAGCCTTTGACTCACACTACGCAGGCAGGAGCTCAGGGATGATAAATGGTAAGGAATTAAAGAGACTTGAATCTGGCTTGGCCTGGCAAGATAGCAGATGGACACAGTGATGGACACAGTGAATACTGAGGAAATAGATCCCTGTTATTGGTGCCATAGAGACAGCTCTGCTTTGTGTCTTGTGGTGTTATCGAGGCTACGGCACCTGGCCTGAGGGATGAGCAGGTCCTTCAGAGCCTTATTCCAGATTCAAGTTTTTTTCCCTACAGCTTCTGTATTTGTAAGTGTGGTATACGATGGCCACTTCCCCAGTGGGGTTCATGGAAAACTTCCTGTAATTTTTATATTTACAATTACCCATCTGCAAATTTTTGTTCAGAGCATAAATGTATAATGTACCTAGCTTACAGGCCAAGCCTTGTGAATGAGATCTCCCAACAGTGTATCAGTGTAGGCCTCGTATTTCAGAGAAGGACCTCTTCCCACAAGTCCACCACTGCACACACTCTGACCATCAGAAGGTAGGGAAGGCCTGGTAAGAGAATAACTGAATATTTTTCTACACTAAAAGGGTACACTGTCCAGCTTTGTATTTGGAGAACTAGTATATGTAACCATCCAAAGAAATCTTGTGATATCTGGAAAATGTACTGTGTGGGTACCATGGTGCATATTTAAATAAAAAAATGACTTTGAAATTCAAATGAATCACCAGGATCCCTGGAACTTCAGAATTCAAGACTGATATCATCTCCAGTTCTACATAGACTTTTGCTACAATGGAAACTATCCTGGAAAATATTCACTTGTGCAGAGAATATCATCATAATTCCACTCAGGATTTGGTATTCCTTTTTTTCCACTACTCGTTCATTTGAGAAGAATCTATTTTGACTATTATTAGGTGTATTGGGATCATATCCAATTATAGATAGTGCAATACTGGTATTCTCTTGACTTCATTTTGAAAAAAAAAATAAAAGTAGCAAATGAATGAGTCACTTGGGGGGGGATTTTTAAGGAAGGTATGCAGACAAGAGTTTCTCTTAATGTAGTGCTTGCCTTAATTAAATGAGTCAGTAAGGGTCAGTCTATCCTAAATCTGCTTCATTTGTTATTTTGATTTAACCTTTCTTACCTTAAGAAAAAAATCATTCTCCTAAATCATTTGACAAGAATGTTATGTGCGGTTCATTTATTTATTTATTTTCAACAATTTCTATATCGCAAGAAAATGTATGTCATCTCCTCATTAAAAACAATATTCATATAGTAAAATATATAGCACTATAATATGTAGATCAAAACATCATACTCTATCCCATATATACAACTATTATTAATTTTAAAAATTTCTTTAAATCACTGTGAGAAAAGACACCATTTTCAGACAAAAGTGAAAGCATCATTCCATTGTAGATTAATGCACAAAGGATTATGATCATAATATATAAAAATTAAGTAACTAGAGAATTCATTAAAAAGATGACTTTCCACAAACTAACTATAATTCATCAATAACTACATGAAAAATAGTTTATCATCACCAATAAAGGAATACTATATGGGTATAAAAATTTATTTTTAAACTATCAGCAAGGAAAAAAATTCTTATAAAATATTAGTAAATTCTGTTATTGGAAACAGTATGAGGAAATGGGAACTCACTGTTTTCAGTGGAGTTTTAAATGTAAACGTTGACATCATTCTGAAGACCTAACTGTCAAAAAAGTAAATCACTGATTTGGCTTCTGAGAATATAACCTACTACTTCAACAAATTTTTATCTCAAACTCATTAAAACTTTAACATGCGTGCAAAAAAATATAAAGATGCATATTCCAGGAAAGCTTAAATTTTAAGAATGGAAACAACCTAATCAATACAAGAGGTTGACACAGTGTATATACATATATATGTTACATATATTTATTTGTCGGTAGAATGTCTGTCTATGCAAGTTCTGTGAGGGCAAATAATTTATCTACTTCTTTCATACTTTTGCTTCTCAGTGTTACAAACCTAAAAGCTCTTTATACATGTATCTCTCAAGCACTTCTCTGAAAAAAATTTGGTCAAGTCCTATTCCTCCTCTCTAAAGATGTTTATGAGGAGAAAATTCTGCTACCTTTTGAAAAAAACTAGAGATAAACGAAGTTCAACAAAATACCTTATGCAGAAAACATCTTTTATTTCTACCAGGAACTATGTAGTGAAGGTTTGGCTGCCTGTAAGTTGTATGACTTCCACAAAACATCTAACTACTCCTAAGTCCTTTGCACAATCTGTTCTCAATTGCCAAGTGGGAGAAGGAAGTGAAAACTTTCTCATATCCTTCTCTGGCTTTGTGCTCAAAGGATTATTTGAAAGGAAAGATGATAGTTCACATTTAACATTATGTCTGGAAAGCATTTTAGAAAACACGTTTATATGAATACTATACTTACCAGCATTCATAATTAACTTTTCTAAGTAATGTATTTTTTTAAACAAGGATGATTTTTCCTAGGAACAGCATTAGTGAGGATGATTTTATATCCTAAGAGTCAGATAGTTTCATAAGAAATTGACCCAATACTTTTATTTAATCCAGACCACATTCTCATTGTTCTCTTACTGACTTCTTTTATTAGCATTCCTGTAACAAGACCATCTTAGAATGGACACTATAATGGTATATGAAATTTACATTCTCTTGAGAAGAAATAACAGTATGTCACCTCTCCACTGTCTGGTGATACAGGCATAAGGGAAACTAAATATTAACAAGTCAACAGTTCAAAACAAATTATCCAAAAAGAGCACTACTGTATGCTCTGCTTTACTACTTGACCTAAATGCCTGTCCTCTGTATTCAGGTTAATTGCTTACGGCCAATAAAAAACCAGTTTTGGAGAGTGGGCTTAATTAAATTTTGAAGGCATTTTGTCTTTTCCATTGATAATTTATGATAGATTGGGAGATGATATTCCAAATTACATACCATCTTTTAAAAATCATAGTACTACATAAGGATTAAATGATCCTTTCTTTAAAAAAAAAAAGTTAAGTTCATAAACTATGAGTAGCTCAGTGGCACAGTGCCTGCCTGGCAAGCACGAGGTTGTGAGTTCAATTCCTGGCACCAAAAAAAAAAAATTAAAAATTAAAAATGTAAGAAACAGTTATATTCATCTCAGGGAATTAGCTCTGTTTTGCTCCTCACCGTGCTATCAAAATGCACGCATACTGAGAGAACATCCTTCTGCCTCGTTCTGTGGGAACTGGGATTAGAATACCATTCAATATGAATGAGTTTCTGTTAGGGTATGATAGGAAGTAGCAGCTGATTGTACAGTATTCTTTTATTCTAGTTTTCACAGAAAGGATGTGGAGGACCACCTGGACGACTCTCCTTGAAAGAAGAGCAGTTATCTCCATTTTAGCCAAACCTGACCCTATTTCCATGTATTAATATGTACAAAGCTGGCTAGGACTTTTCCTTATCCCTTCAACTGGCTTTAAGCAATGCATATCGGTCCAGCCAGGGTGCTGATGTGTAGTCTTTGAAGCAAAGATGACAGGGAAGTACTTTCTCTGCCCCACACAGCTCCCAAATAAAACATGTGTAAGCCAAGGCAAGGCAAGATGGAGAGCCAAGCTCCACATTGTCGGCTGAGATCCAACCTAAACTAAGAAGCTATGACTTCCCAGGGCACGAAAGATTACACATCAGAGCCGAACCACTGACCAGAAAACATCACATACTACCTGAGTTGTGTTATACAAATTACTCTGCCTGCATATCCTTCTCTCTGCATATTGCAGAGGTGATTTCAGGTCTCCTACCTGGCCCAGCTCATGGCACCCACCTACTTCCCACCGTTCTCACACTCACTCATCCTCAAGCACTCCCTTCTTCATGAATTAATGAAACCCGGGTTTGGCCCTGGGTCAAGGCCTTTTTTCCAGATAGCCATCATTGTGGCTGGACTTAGGACCCTTTTCGTCTCCATAACTATAAATATCCCTTAGTGTCTTTATTCTCATCATGGGTTGCTCTGGAAGTGGTAGATTGGAATTAACTCACTAGAATTCCAGTAACTTCACAGGATTACAAATATAAACTTCCTGGGCTTCAAGGAGGACCAGGAAGGGCTAGCTATTAAAGGATACCCATGTTATGGAGTCCAGTACTATGAAAGCAATATCTGACCTTAGCAACCTAATGATTATATTGCTTTGTCTTTTTGCCGTTCAGTGAGTTTAATTCTGAGCTAAACTCTGATCTGCACACTTCTGAGGAATAAATGCAGTTGTCAATCTAATATTAAAATGTCATTTTGAAAAAGAGGGTAGCGCACATTTCTGGTACCAGGTAGCTCAATACCTACCTCAAAGCCAGGACTCACAGGAGACTAAAAGATGAAGTTGTAAGTGCAAAAAGCAGTCAAAGATGCAGAATAAAAGGAGAGAAAGACAGGAAAAAATGTGATTAGAGGAAAGCAGTGACTACAACTCAGTGTTTAATATAGGTACATTTTCAAGTAAAAGCAAACTGTTATACTGATTGTAGCCACAAGGAAAAGGAGCTGGAAACTACTTCTGAAATAAAATGGAACCACAATCATTAACTCATAACTTCAGACACAGTTTACAGTTCTGAGTGGGGAGAGGTTAAAAAAAAAATCTACCTGTCAGAGTTTCAGGGATGAAAGATGCTTCTTTCACTTGTTGAAAATAAATTATAGTCAAAATGAAGCATTTTTGACCTTTAAGTGAAAGATTAGATTTTCCTCATAATAATTCTTCCTCTCAATGGGGAAAAAATAAAAAGGTCATCAAAGTAATCAAATGTTACATAGTTCTTAACTGCCTGCAGGCCAGAATAAGCTGATGAGTAATCAGACTCAGCCAACTGTTTACAAATCCGTGAAGTCCGATGGTAGTTTTAATCAGACAATATTGTCTACACTCCATTCTTTACTCATGGTGGAGGGCTTGATTTCTACTTTATTTCATTCGAAGTTGAAATATAATTCAAAAGTAAAAATGTCACTCCTGATTTTGTGTTTTAAGAGGACGTACTACCAATGTAAAATGTAAAGGGAAGCTTGAATAAGCAGATAAGGGGTATCTGATAATTTATGTTGAAGACATTCTGTTTCAAATATTTTTGTCCCTAGCTTTGTCAAGCTGCTTTATCTGATAATTAACAATCAAAACAAGATTAAAATATGGCTGATTTGGTTTCTCAAAAAGAAAGCATACGTGTGTTTTTATATCAGTGATTTTTTTTTCCAGTAATGAATTACTGTGAATTAAGAAAAAAATCTTATTTGTTTTCTGAAACTTTATGTCCTTATTCACAATCTACAGGTAACACATTTGGTTAAAAACTTTGGGAGCTGCATACATTTAGAATGAAGTTCTGTCAAAGTTAATCATTTTCTAATACTGCTCTCGGTATTTCAGGACTGACAGGAAGAACGTGCAGAACTCAGGGCAACTACAGCTCCTGTGAACACAGACCCAACTTGGACTTTTCAGAAAAATTACAGCCCCATTTGTCTGAGTCAGAAGATCAGTTTCCAAAAAAGATGTGACCCTTTCTGTCTCTACAACTGGCAGCCAAGCCCATGATTTTCATCCAGTTGGGAGCCTTGAATTCAGCGTTAGAATTCAACTTCAGCTGAGTGACGGGAGCCTTCTGGTATCTGAAATGGACTATGCCACATGCACGCATCCACTGATTTCTCTTTTTTTGGGTACCATTTAGATACGCATAATGATCACATTCATCAACAGAACTAATATGTAGAATATAAAAAGAATTTTTAAAAATCAGACCCTCCAAATTTAAAGACCCAATCCAAAAATGGGCATCTGAAATGAACAGACACTTCTCAGAAGTATAAATAGCAGATAAACAATTTAAAAAGTTCAATATCACTGATCATTCAAGAGATGCAAATAAAAACAACACTGAGATCACTGATTTCCCTGGTTTTCTTTTTCTGAAGGTGTCTTTTTTCCCATAGAATATTCTTAGATTTTTATGAGATAAAGGATTTCTATATTTAAGTAAGTTTCAGAGCACCAATTTCATTATTGCAAGACTTTTGAGACATTTAATTATGTTTAATAACTATTTTGATATTACTAGTTGGATGGAGCAGAAAGCATTTCCCAACTTTATTTGAACACAATTTGTTTACTTGCAGGACATTTTATGGAATCATGTTTTGAAGGACATTGGGAAATATATAGACAGACTGTCTGTTTATCTTGTTGTCAAGTTAGAATCATCAGAAACACCCATAGAGCATAAAAATAGAGCCAACTATTCCATTGGTAGTTTATATAATACTATACCAGAGTTTTGCTTTTGTTTGCTTTGTTTTTCCCTTGAAAAAATTCATACGAATTACAGTTTTGCATCTGTGGTGAAAATTACTGTAAAAAACAATGTTTATTATGCAGATAAATTCCATGTGCCTCAGAATGCTGTGGCACATTTAACACTCAGAGAATTTATTTCGTGTTATTGAATAATGTCAGTTTTATAACACGCTTTTCTTCTAACTGACTGAAAGGAATCTCATAACTTTATTGAATTATTCGTTATTCTAATATGGTATTTCATCCTTTTCTTATACAACCTGTGATGAAGAACCCCAGTGATTTTATAATTTGCTATTTGAATAGCTGCTGCTATTCTTATTTAACACATTTTTATTGAGATAATTTATATGGAGTAAAGTATATAAAGTTGTAAGTGTACAGCTCCATGAGATTTTGCACATGCATTCATTCGTGTAACCTCTTTTCCCCATGAACATGTAGAATACTTCCTGCCTCCTAGAAGTCTCATTTCTGTTCTCTCTTAGTTGGTACCTCACTGAGAGAAACTGTTATTTTGATGTGTTTTACTCTAAATTGGCTTTGCTTGATTTGAACTTCATATATTGCACTCATAAGTATATCCTCTTTTGTGTCTTTCTTTAAATATTATTTTGTGAGATTCATCCACGCTGCCAAGTGAATTGGGAGTTCATTTATTCTACGTATGTCATTCATGCATTCTATTGTATGACTGCACCAATCAATTGTTTCCAGTTTTTAGACGTCATGAACAAAGACGCTGGAAACAAGCTTGTAGCACATCTTTCTGTGCATGCGTCTTAACGATGTTTCTGTTGAATATATACCGAGAGGTAGAACTTCTGACATACATACACCTATGGTCAACTTCAGAAGGTAATTGCCAAAGCAGTTTTCCAAAGTTGTTGAGCCCATTTATAGTCCAAGAACTGATGTGTACAATTGTAATCATTCAGTATCTTCACCAATATATACTTATTATTGTTAGGGTTTCATTCAATGTTAGGAAATCTGATATAGGAAGATCTCATTATGGATTTAAATTTATACTCCTCAGTAACTAATGATGTTAAGCTCATTTTCATCTTTATTGGCTAACTTCTACTATAAACCACTGTTGGAGAATTTGGTACATTTTATGTTGAGCTGACTGTCTTCCAACACTCTGTAAATTTTCTTTACATGCTCCAGAGGTTTTATAATACTGTATATATATATCATAGATCTATATCGATATCTAGATAGACCTATATCTATATCTCTATTGCTGTCTCTTCTCTCTCTCTCTCTCTCTCTCTCTCTCTCTCTCTCTCTCTCTCTCTCAAAATATGTCTGGCACCAATTTGATATCTATAAGAAAATACAAATTTTGACTCTATGCCATGCACAAAATCAACTGCAGATAGACTGGGAGCTTCAGGGAAAGACTATAGGAAATAAATACAGGAACATAGAGTAGGAAAAGCCTTTTTAAAAAGACTCAAAGCATTAAGGACAAAGGGGAAAAAAAATTGAGTATCAGTAAAGTTAAAAATTTATTTCATTCATAAACAACAGTAAGAAAATAGAAAACATACCCTAGAGAGGGAAAGATATGTAAATACATATATATATTATATATATATTACAAAGTTTTCCATTTATCAATGAAACACTAACGAATTTCAACATCTTATATAAAATACCACTCATAGTCAAGTAGTTGAAATAATTTAATGGTTATTCAATTTGATTAAATAAAGCAATTAAGTAATTTGGTTTAATGCATAAAATTCCATGGTAAAGATTATTGTTACATAACAAAAATTCCATTTACATATAAATTGTGTAATTAGCTCTAGGTTCTACGCTATTCTAATGAGGAATAACTAGAGATTTAGATTTCTTTTGAGTTGTTAAGCAAGTTTTTTAGAAGTTATTCCAGGTAAAACTGAAAAGAAATCATTAATTTACAACTTTGTTTGCTTAAATTATTTAATGTCTACCTTACAAATACCCTCACTCTCAATAACTATATACAACAGTAAGAATAACTGTTATAGCTTATAAAATTTAAATTCAACCAAAGAACTTCTAGGCTAAGAAGTTAATATCAGTTATTTTTAAAAAATAAATTTTGATTTAAGCATCTTTCAGTAAGAATATCATTTACTCTACATAATAGAACTTCACAGAATAAAATATAACCATGCACATACATTCAGAATATCGATAAAAACTTATGTTCCTTACTACTGGTAGGAGTTAGAACTCACCTTCTCCAACAGTTTTACTTAAAAATGATGTCAATATATGACCCGACCCCCCATAAAAAGGCCCTGTAGAAACAGAATATGAAATATTCCTTTTGATAAAAATTTAACTCTTTTAAAAAAGCATATTTAAATCATATCCATAAGATGTTTTAGAGTTAATAGAAAGTGTTAAATGTCATTATTCTTAAGTGGTTTATTGGTGCATGTTTGATGATAAATTTGCACATATCCAAACAATAAAAGACTTTTTCAAATTTTCATAAAAGCCAACTTCAAATTTTCTCCCAAAACAAATACTCAGCTATGCCACAAATTACTCTAGTAATATACAGAAAACATTTTATCTTTGGTTTCCAAATTTTGACAAACTATGTTTGGCAACATTAACACATTAGTTTGTGCTGCTCCGACCCAAAACCGTGATGATACCTCACATATTCTATCATTTCACTAAGCTCAGAGATAAAAGCAAACTAAATACTGTTGGATATTTAATGAAGCACTGACCAATCCACAGCACAGGCCATGAAGAAACAGTCAGTAGCACTCTGTCTGTGTCCTTCCTCTCAGCACACTGTCTGAAGACACTGTTACCACAGCGTCCCACAGATTTCTCATGTACATGGGGAAATGGATAAACAGGAGACCATACCAGCAGAGGCTCATCAGGAGCACTGGTAGAGAGCTCAGTGGAAGATGTGCGGACAGTGCTGAGCCCGGTGAGGGAAACGTTTGAGAGCCTTCTCCGTCTCACACCACTGCAGTTGTTCGGGATTTTAAACGCACATCTCTTATGGTAATTCAGACCGCATCCTGCAAAGAGAAAATAAAGATAGCTTTTGTCCAACCGGATAGCTTTTAGCCTCCACAAGTTCCAATGTGAGTGGACATATACAGAAGACACTAACTGCAGTGCATTACAACTTTGAGACTTTGAGACTCTAAGTTTATGTAAAGTCTCCTTCTACAACTCGCTTCTCTATGTCATCTTGAACAGAATACTTCATCTTAGTTTTCCTCCCTGTAAAATGAAGAGAATAGTAACCATCTTATAAAACTGTTGAGAAAATATGTAAAATAGTTCACATGCTGGTTTTCATATGGTGGGTAAATGAAAACTGGAAGCCTATTTTTCATTTAGGGAAATGTCATTTTTCTTTTAATATTTCTACTATTCATATGCTCCAATGCAACTGGTGACAGTAACTCAGAATTTCTTCATACATCAAACAGTAGGTGTTGTACTCAGGGTTTTCAAGGGAAAAGATTTAATACAGGACACATGTTATAGGATTACTTTATAATCTTCACCTAAAGAATCAGATGGAGAAGAGTACAGATGTGTTGGTGCACTAACTCAGAGAATCCAGCTGAGGGTCTGGATCCCATGGCAATGTCCTTGCATGAGTCCAGCTGAAAACCTAGAGCCCAGAACAATGCAGGTCTGTACCAAGGATCTGCAGTGGGAAGGCTCAAAGGTCAGTGGTGGAAGCTAGAAAGTCTGTACCAATGGGATGAAGGATCTGTGCCAGCAGGTTAAGGGATCTGCATCGGAGCCAGGAAGCAATGCTCAAGGTAAGGACCAGAGCAGCCATCCTTAGCAACAGTGAGGATCTGAACTCCTCTGATGATAACAGCTGAGTTCATATCAGGAAAACCAGCATGACAAACTCCTCCAGAAGAGTCAACAGCACATCATCTTCCCCTCCAGTTCTCCTTTTACGCTTTCGGCAATAATCCTCAGGTGGGCCTTCCACACCCAGGATCACGCTGATTCAGTTCAGCTGAGTGTTACAAGTTGACCATTCATTAATCCACCACAGTAGGGCAAAGAAGTTTTCATAAAATAGAGTGTAGGCAGAATTTCTTCTAGGTCACTGTCTCTTAAGTGTTATGCTCACAGAATAAATTAAACAACTGTGACGAGCATATAAATAAATTACACTATAAAGCTGTGTTATGTTGGCCAAAGTTCAAAGAGCTCTATCCTCCTCAATCTACAAGAACGGGATGATTGTGTAAGGTCATAAAAGTTTATTGTGGTATTCCAGCATGCTAAGCTGTGCAGTCCAAGGAGGTTTTTGTTTTTTGTTTTTTCCCCGATAGATATGATAAAACTCTGATACTGGTGTAGAAACTCAGGTATATATTCCATGCTACCCAATTCAGGAGCTGAGTGATCTAGGGTGGTTTGATTAATCTTCTGAATTTCTGCCCATTGCAATGCCTGCTACTCTGATTTTTGGTTTAGTTATGATTAAAATTTATATAACAGAGGTGAGATATACTATAATATGAGGGAGGGAAATATGAGAATCAGTGGTCCCAGATCAGGCCAAAAATGCAATGACAGGACATTTTTAAAAATGAAGCAAACAGTGTTCAGACATCCAAAAAATGCTTGAAGATACTTCTGAGGCCCCGAGGGCACCAATGCAGAGACCTCAGTGGAAGTGGATCACGCCAAGAAGTATTCGACTTCGTAGTAAAGGAAACAACTTACCTTCACATTTAAGGCCTTGACGCACTAAGCCCCACAGCATTTCTCCGCAGTGATCACAGAAAGCGGGAGCTCGGTATGAATGAACAAAGAGAGCGTGGGGACGAATCTGGAAGTCCTCAAATGTAGCAGAAGCTGTAACATCAGAAAAGAAATTGGGTGGATCTGTAAGTAATAAACATGCCATAAAAGGATGCAAGCTCGGATATGACTCTCTAGGCAAATTTAGGGGAGGTTCGACCCGACACAGCTTACACTTGGAGACACTAGACTTCATTCTTCCCAGCTATGGTTTTACTAATAGCGTAGCCCCTTTTTCTTGTCTCCTCTTTCTGTTTGGCAAACTTTTGAGCCACTTCCAAACATTCAAAATGTGAGAAGAAAGCATGAATGAAAGGGTAAGTCAACTGGGAAATTCCTGAAATTGTGAAAATATTTTGATTTTTTCTTTTCAATGAACTTAAAAGGCATTCAAAAATATTAATGAAAAGAAAACACTGATGAGTTCAGACAGGTTTGAAAATAGTGTATTTCAAAATGATGAAGAGACAGAAAAGCAGATATAAGTGGAAGAGATAAGAAATCTGAGCAGCTTCTCTTTCAAGGGATAGAGCTGTTTGAACTCTTTAAAAACATGTAATAAGACAATTTTCTATAAATTACCAAGCAGCCTCTTTACCAACAGACCAAAAAGAGGGGTTCTAAACACACACTGTTGAACTGCAGTCCATTCAGAGAAATACACTTTGGTAAACTACATCTACGCTTTAAGGCATCTTTTGTTATTTTTGTTGTTGTTTCTTATTTTACATGGCGCTCATACAGAATACTGAAATGTTCTAAATGCTGATTTCTACCGCAGTGCAGGGCACATAGTTGTGCTTTGATTTCAAATGGATGTAAAACCTTACCACCCTTGGTAGATTTTTAAGGTGAAAATTATTTCACTAAATTGTAAATATTTAAAATTGTATTTTTCAACACGATGTCTTATTGTATTATAAAAGTGGTGCATGGCTTTTGTGATGTTGTGTAAATGAAAAATACAAAGGTACAAAGAACTGAAAATGAAAGACCAGATCTTCTCTGAATGTTCTAATGGATGGGGGCATCTTGGCAGACCTATGTGCGTGCAGGAGCCGGGAGCTGGGGCTTCACAGTGGAGTGCAGAGGACATGATCCTGGAAGTCAGAAGAGCCACGCGAAGCTGAACCACTACCTGAGTGACATCTCACTTAATCACCATGAGCCTCAGCTTGTCATACCTGAAAAGAGAAGGTTTCAATGACAGTGACTTCTCCAGCGTCTTCAAGTTCAAACTTTTACTGATGTTAGAACTGAGCCACATTCCCTTGATTTCATGAAGTTTTATCTCAGAAGGACTTGGGAGAAAACTATTCTGAATTCTTTCCTTTTCCTTGTTGAATGAAGTTGTGTATTGTACTTCCCACTTGAGTATTAAGGACAACGCTTATTTGAAGTAAGTAAGTAAGACAGGTATACTTTGGGTACCAATCATTGATTTTGGTGGTTTGGTCAAAGTGTGTCTAATTAGTGAATGCAAAATTCTCTTTAAATCTGTGCACATTCATGGATAAAATTTTTTCTTAAAATATTAAAGGAAATAGTTATATACCTTATGCAAATGTTAACTTCTAGCTTCTCCCCTGAACCTCAAAGTTACCCCTCAGGTCCAAACAATTGTGACAATACTATGACAGTAATTAGTTGAATAATTAATTACTGCAGTTTTCAAAATAAGGAACACTAAAATTTGACAATACAAATACAAGGCTGCATTCAGACATTTTTGGAATTAATTAGGAAAAATATAAATAATTAAACTAAAGATTTTCAATGACACCCTCTTCCCATTTATGCCAGGTAAATTTGTTCTTTCCATTTTTAAGGGGATTAACATTCATAAGCAGTGAGCACCCTTGACTTATGTTTAAATGTCGTATTTCTAAAGTTCAATTTTAATATTCTCCTGTTAATTTTAGAATAATTAAACACATTTTTAAAATAAAACTACCAAGCGTGGTGAGGTTTTACATCCATTTGAAATCAAAGCACAACATCCATTCATTATGAGTTTACCTGTTCTGCACCCTGGGGGAAATCAGCATTAGCGAGTATACGCATGCCGTCTGGCCTAATCACAAAAGTGTACTTCAGAGATAATCACTTCGCACAGGAAAACAAAGTGGATGCTGTAATTCCATTTCATTTAAGTTTGGGAATCAAAATGGACAGGTAAGAATAGGAACAAGAGCACGTCTAGAGATTTCAAGGAGGAAACAATGTGTTATCTGTCAGTCTGTCATAATCAATCAGCCAGCTGAAATTAAAACCACATGACAGGGCAACAGAGTAGCACAATGGGCCCCTTATATTGGTATTTGTGTCTCTCTGATTTGCTCTATTCACAGTCTATTGTTATACTCCAGCGCACAGAAGAGGAGAAAATGACATGCTTTCCTTAGTCACTGAGCATTTGAAACAAGTAATTGAGCCCCAAACCCTAATATAATCAGTTCCTTTAAGGTACATTATAAATTGTTGCTCAAAATGGAGTAAACTGGTTAGCAGGACACAAGAAATGAGGCTTCTAAAGGAAAATAAATAATCTCTGGAGGTCAACATTATTTGCATGACAAAATAATGGCAGATCTCAGATTTTCAGCATTTTTACTGGTACTTTTGGCTATTTGGGAGACATATTAACTCTGGCTGTGAGAAGTTGTGACTGACATGAAGAAATGCTTAACACTCTAAAAGCATTGCCTTCTTCTACTTTTCAGAAGCAATCTAGGACACACCTATTATTCTCAGCTTACAAATGAGCAAACAGACTTAGAGATTAAGGTACTACACTAGGTAATAAGGGTTCTGAAGTTAGCCAGTACTGAAGTGAAAGTCACACAAGCTCTACTATTACTCAATTCATATCTCTTTGACCATTAAAACAATACAGATTATAAGGTGTATCTTTATGTGTCACTGGGAAGGATTTTTAAACACCAGAATCAAATATAATATGTCTATTGTTACATACACCTCACCTCCAGAGATATTAAAAATGTTGGGGAAATAAAAGATTTCATATAAAATATATAAAGAAATTATTTCTGTTTATAATCAAAAATTAGTACACAGGGCTGGGGATTTAGCTCAGCGGCAAAAGCGCCTGCCTGGCAAATGCAAGGTCGTGAGTTCGGTTCCCAGTACCAGAGAAAAACCAAAAAAAAAAAAAAAAATTAGTACACATTCCACGTGGACTCCATAGTTTGAATCTCTCCCCTCCAAACAAATTGGAGTTAAGAACAACGAGTTGCTTTTGAATTTTTGCAAAAAATAAAACCTAGTTCAGATCTGTTTAAGGTCTGCATGCACAGGAGAGCCAGTGTTGCCAGGCTGAATCGTGAAGTCTGGCCCAAAGAAAAGGTTTTCAAAGTTCTAAAAGCTTTATTGTGCAAACCTTTATGTTTGTTTTTGTTTCTTTGCTTGTTTTTTTTCTTCACATCTATAATATTGAGCAGGGCCAGTGATATAGCTCAATGGCATAAACACCTGCCTGGCAAGCGCAAGGTCCTGAGTTCGATTCCCAGTACAAAAAAAACCCAAACTTATAATATTGAGTATATCTTGTGGATACAAGTGCCTCTACATAAATTCACACACATTGTTTTGAAATATTCTGTGGACAAAAAACTTGTATTCACGCTAGGTGTAGTACGCACACTGATAATCTCATCTGATCAGGAGGCTGAAGCAAGAGGACTGCAAATTTCAGGCTGTCATGGCAATTTAGCAAGATACTATCTTAAAAATAAAATTAAAAAGGGCTAGAGATGTAGCTCAGTAGAGTGGATGCTTATGCAAGGGGCCTGGGTTTAGTCCTGTGTACTGGGGAAGAAAAATCCAAACAAACAAACAAACAAACAAAAACATATCTGCTTTTACCTCCTGTCATACACATACACACCCACACACACACACACACACACACACACACGAGTTCATTCTTTGTTGGATCAGAGCACTCAGTGGTAGAATAAATACTATTTACAATCAGTTTATTGCATTTGTAGATAGCCCAAATTAGTAAGTTCTTTATATTAAGCCTCCAACACTTCTCTGCAACTTCTACTTATTGGTCACAGGTCTAAGAGCAAGCCTCTAAAACTACAACATTTCCATAACTTTCTACAGGCAGCGTGTGGAGGCCAAGCAGTTCTAAAATCTCCAGGTTGATTTACACCATGTTTTACAAATATATTTTGAAACTTCCATGTACTACAGTATATGTTAGAAGTGGAAAACTAAGGAATCGTACTATTGCTGAGGGTTCCAAAACAAAATAAGAATGACAATATCTTTTTTTTTTTTTTTTTTTTTTTTTTTTGGTTTTTCTCCGGTACTGGGAACCAAACTCACGACCTTGCGCTTGCCAGGCAGGTGCTTTTGCCACTGAGCTAAATCCCCAGCCCCGACAATATCTTAAATAATAATACAAAGTATGAAAACAGAAACGCAGAAGAAAGGGTGGCTGAGGGTGCCTGGATCTACCAGAAAGCTTCATTACGAGGGGCATTGTACAGAATCTTCAAGGATGAAGAGTATTTCGAAAGGCAGAGAATGAGATAAAGGAAAGAGGAAGCATTTTTATATAGTCGGATTTTATTTCATTATAGGTAACACAGAACTGTCCATATATTTCTTTACACTTGCTGTGGATTCACAATACCTTATGTTTGGAGCATGGTCAGAGTGTTTAGCAGAAGTGACTCCCCACTGTGCAGAAGGAAGGCAATGGAGAAGACAGGTCCCTGTGCCTGGAGTCCAGGAGCGTGTGACAGTGATTGTGAATTCAGTCTGTGCTTATCTACATCCCTCTTTCTGCCCCCATCCACACTTACCTACACCCTAGGGCTGCTCATTTTTTTGGTATGGGGGGGGATTTCTGCTGCTCTGTCCAAGCCACTTTTCAGATTCTCCCTTATGCAACCACTGTTCAAAATAATTGCACATTTCAATCTCTGTTAACCTGGAAAAGTCTAGAGTCTAGCAAAAGGAAGATCCCTCAGCTCCCAGTCACAAGAATATTTGATCAGTGCATGTTGAGACACTTT